CCCTGAAGACTGTCCTGCATCTGCTATGAGGAATGTCATGAAACGATTAATGTTGCTTAAACACACAGGTTCCTGTCTCACAGTCCTGCTCCACACCAGTGACAACAGAAGGAGTGTTAGCTGTGATGGAGAGTCTATTTATGTGGTAACATAGGGCCTGAATCATGAATCATAGCATCATAGAATCATTAAGGCTGGAAAACACCTCTAAGATCATTAAGTCCAACCATCAACCCAACACCACTGAGCCCACTAAACCATGTCCTGAAGTGCCATGTCTACACATTTTTTTAACACCTCCAGGGATGGTGACTCCAGCACTGCCCTGGGCAGCCTGTTCCAATACTTGACCACTCTTTCAGTAAAGAAATTTTTCCTCATGTCCAATCTAAACCTCCCCTGGTGCAACTTGAGGCCATTTCCTCTTGTCCTGTCACTTGGTCCTTGGTTGAACAGACTCACCCCCACCTCTCTACACCCTCCTCCAAGGGACTTGGACAGAGCCACAAGGTCTCCCCTCAGTCTCCTTTTCTCCAGGCTCAACAACCCCAGTTCCCTCAGCCGGGAACTCAGCACACTTGTACTCCAGACCCTTCCCCAGCTCCGTTGCCCTTCTCTGGACACGCTCCAGCACCTCCATGTCCTTCTTGGAGTGAGGGGCCCAAAACTGAACCCAGCACTTGAGCTGTGGCCTCACCAGTGCCCAGTACGGGGGCACAATCACTTCCCTGGTCCTGCTGGACACACTATTCCTGATACAGGCCAAGATGTCATTGTCCTTCTTGGCCACCTGGGCACTCTGCTGGCTCATGTTCAGCTGCTGTTGACCAACACCCCCAGGTCCTTTTCTGCCAGGCAACTCTCCTGACACTCTTCTCCAAGTCTGTATGTACAGACTTGCACAGATATTGACATATATAGGTGTGCATAATAATGCAATAATGCATATAAAAACAGAAGGGGAAGAGTGGGCATCTGGCACCCAGCCAGGGTCAACCCACCACACTCCAAAATGCATTTATATTCTGGAGGTATGCGTATGAGGATGGTGGTTATTTTTTTAAAAAATCGATTTTCTGGAGTGGGTGAGATATACTCAGGTGTTATCATTATAAACCACCTTCACATTTATGTCTACTGTTATTTTAAGCAACTTCTGCAAGGGGAGATAACTCACTGCATGAGAAATAGAAAAAAAATGTTTTGGTCATAGCTGTTTGAGTAATATGAGGTCCCACTCAGATATATGACATACTGGATTACTGCTGTTTGCTCACAAAGGCCAAGAAAGAGCTCTCTCACCCAGATATACAACCCTTCTGGAGGTTATCATCATCCTCTGAAGCACTGAAGTTTGGTCCCTGTAGACAGGATGTGCAAGTTTTTGTAGAAACATGAAACTTCACTTGTGTGGTATCCTTGCCTTTCTGATTTTGACAGGGTTAAACCAACTGCTGGATTTGGAAAGGATTCCTCTCCTCATGTTAGGCTGGCAGGAATAACAGAATGACATTTCCTTTTTTTTTTCCTTTTGGTTTTTCACCGTCTCATAGAGCACACCCAGCTTCCTGGCTGTCCTGGGTTTGGTTAGGATGTAATAAATTGCTCACAGAGAACTGGGAGGAGGTTGTAATGAGGTGGGTATTGCCCTCTTCTCCCAAATAACAAGTGATAGGACAAGAGGAAATGGCCCAAGTTGCACCAGCGGAGGTTTAGGTTGTATATTGGGAAAAAATTATTCACTGAAAGGGTGGTCAAGTATTGGAACAGGCTGCCCAGGGCAGTGGTGGGGTCACCATCCCTGGAGGTATTTAAAGGATGTGTAGATGTGGTACTTGGGGACATGGTTTAGTGGTGAACTTGGCAATGCTGGGTTTATGGTTGGACTAGATGATCATAATGGTATTTTGCAACCAAACTATTCTATGATTCTGTGGTACTATGAGGAGAGCAGCAGGGGCAGCTGACCCAAACAGACCAAAGTAGGTATTCCATACTATGTGACATCATGCTCGGTATTTAAGCAGGGAAGTTCTGGGAAGAGGCAGGGGTACTGGGCACCGCGGTTCGGGAGCAGGTCGGCTGGTGCCGTTTGGTTCCATGTATCACTCGTGTTGTATATTCTTTCATTAGTACTGTTGTTGTTGTTTAGTGTTGTTTCTCCCTTACCATTCCAGTAAACTGCTCGTGTCTCAACTCCTGAGCCCCATTCGTTTATATTTTCTCCTCCCCATACCACCAGAGGGTGGGGAGGTGGGGTGGGGCAGTGACCGTCTCTGGTTAAACCATGTCACTTTGGGTGCCCAACGTGGAGCCAAAAGGTTGGGATAACAGCAGACCTGACCAGAGTGTGTTAAAACAATCTTATATATATACACATTTAATATAGTAGTTAAATAGTCACTGGCCACTTTTCTCACTCAGCAATATCTAAAGCCAGTTGGATGGCTTTTACCTCTGCAAACTGTCTCGATTCACCTTCTGCTTCAGCAGCTTCTGAAACTCGTTATGTAGGACTCCACACAGCAGCTTCCACCTTTGATGTTTTTCCTACAATACGACAGAACCCATTATAGAACTAAGGCATATAGGCTCCACACAGCAGCTTTCCACCTTCGATACTTCCCTACAATCCGACAGGAGCCATCAGTGAATAGGGCATATCGTTTCTCATTATCTGGTAGTTCATTATATGATGGAGCCTCTTCAGCACGTCACCTCCTCGACATTCCAAAATCTTTGCCCTCTGGCCAGTTTGTGATCACTTCCAAAATTCCTGGACAACTGGGGCTTCCAGTTCAAGCCTTTTGTGTGATCAGCGTGACCCACTTACTCCATGTGGCTTCATTTGCGTGATGTGTAGTAGAGGCCCTCCCTTTGAACATCCATCCCACCACTGGCAGTTGGGGTGCTAAGAGGAGCTGTGTCTCAGTACCAACCACCTCAGAAGCAGCTCGAAGTCCTGTCATGACCAATAGCTTCTGCAGATACTCACCACCTGGCTCAGGTCTTGCTCTCAGGGTGCCCATGTGAGTGCAGAGCTCTTCTCAGTTGTGAAATTTCATAAATATCTGGGTGTCCCCCCCACAACAAGCTGTTCACTGCCATAGCTGTCCTGGAGGCTGGGCAGCTTGCTTAAAGTTCACCTGAGAGTGTCAGCCCAGTCGCTGGCCACCGCTATAGAGGTGTTCTTCATACCATTCTGAGAGAACATCCCCTTCTGCTTAAACAATAGGACATTAGAAGACAGTTACATATCAGCTGGGCCCAGTCAAGTTTGTCATCTGAAATAGATAATGGGGAGACTTGAGGCATCAAAACTTTGCAATAAGGTAGTGATGTCAGAATAAACCAGTTTTGTGGAGACAGAAGTGTTGTAAACAGGCCAAGAGATGAACTACACATGCACAGAAGAAAAGCCCAGCCAAAGGACACAGTGAGAAAAGTTTCGGTGACCACGAGAGGACCCCTGAAGATGACCAGTACACATGCAAAAAGGACATTTACATACATTAATGAGTTCGTGGAAATGTAATGAATGTTAATAATTTCTTGGCAAAGTAATGAATATGCATGTTTTGATAGGATAAAGCTTTTGTAGAAATACGAGTCGTCATGCACGATAGGTGGAACAATTCCCTGTGCATCCAGTGTTGCAGTACAGAATGGCTGCTTCTTCAGTCTGCATTGGTGTAAAGAAGTTCATTCCTGATTTCGGTGACATCCTCACACACATAGAGTCTTCCTTGCTTACATGAAGACCCAGATTCAAAAGTGTATGAGCAGCTGTATCCTGGGCTGCATCAAGAGAAGGGTGGCCAGCAGGTCGATGGAGATGATTCTCTCCCTCTACTCTGCTCTTGTAAGGCCCCACCTGGAGTGCTGTGTCCTGTTCTGTAGCGCGAGACATGGACCTGTTAGAACGAGTCCAGAGGAGGCCATGAGGATGATCTGAGGGCTGGAGCAGCTCTGCTGTGAGGACAGGCTGAGAGAGTTGGGGCTGTTCAGCCTGGAGAAGAGAAGGCTCTGGGGAGATCTTATAGCGGCCTCCCAGTACCTGAAGGAGCCTACAAGAAAGCTGGGGAGGGACTTTTCATAAGGGTAGTTAATGGTAGAACAAGGGGTGATGGCTTGAAACTGGAAGAGGGGAGATTGAGATGAGATGTGAGGAAGAAATTCTGGGCTGTGAAGGTGGTGAGACACTGGCCCATGGTGCCCAGCGAAGCTGTGGCTGCTCCTCCCTGGAAGTGTTTAAGGCCAGGCTGGATGAGGCTTTGAGCAACCTGGTCTAATGGAAGGTGTCCCTGCTCATGGCAGGGAGGTTGGAACTGGATGAGCTTTAAGGTCCCTTCCAACCCTAACCGTTCTATGATTCTATGATAACAGTCCTTGGAGCTCCACAGAGTGTTCCCATGAAGGGAAACGTCAGTAATCATCACCACCTGATGGAGATCCATAAAATCACAAGCTTTTGCAGGCAATGTCTTGTGTTTCCATCTCTCCACTGGGTTCTGCTCAACTTCCTGATGATATCTGGGTGCCAAACAAGTTATCTGCCATGCCACAGCTCTGTGACTTGATGCCATTTGTGTAGATGCTCTTTCTCTCTTGGTGCATTGGGGTGTTTAGAGAAGAGCTGCTTTTCTACTCTGGGGCTAGTGGTAATAAAGAGATACAATTTCTGTTCCACACTGTGAAAAAAAAAAATGGCTCACCTGTAAGTTCCAGCTTCTGGCAGGCAACCTTGTTTACACCCCCAGATCCACTTCTGAATGGGACTCACTCTCTTTTACAGTCTTTCATCGCCAGGAACTTGCTTTCAGTTTCTGCTGGTGGAGTAGTTTATTTGTATAAGAGCAAATCACCATGAGGAAGTATTCAGCTGAGTAATGTTACTAACGGCCAAAGTTTCATCTTCAGGAACAGAAACTGAAACAAATGTAAGACTAATAAAGGGAAATCCATCACCCAGGAGGCAACAGATGAGTCCAGAAATATCCATGGCTGCTGTCACTGATAGAGGTAAGTACCTGTATGTGAAGAACAGGTCTATTCTCTGTATTCAGTGTAGATATTTACTGCAGTTGTTTCTGATATTTACTGTAGTTTTATCTGATATTTACTATAGTTGTATCTAAGGAACTGGTGAGTACAGACAAATGTGTGTGTTGACACGTGAAGATATAGAGGAGACACTTGTGGATATGTGTGTGTCATCTCTTTGAATGCATTACCATATCTTGAGTCTTAGATCCAGCTTCAAAATGTTAATGCCTCCTGTTGTTAATCCTGATGCGGCATTAGATAGGAAGATTTCAGGTTCCAAAAGACCTCTTAATGTGAAAAATATCTCAAAGGTGATTAAGAATGGAGCAAATGAGTTGGCTCATTTTTTCACCTCTTTTATTTCCTATGCAATAAACTAAAAAATGCCTCTTAAAGAATCAGTGCAATAAGGCTGTGCAAGGAGCTGATCAGGTCTCTGTTGATGTGGAAGGCTATTTTATTTCTGCTGAAATGGAATTTCACTGTGTATATTTCATAATTCCTCCTCTTAAAGAGCTATGAGTTACAGAAAAGTGTCTTTAGTATCTTAATTCTAAGTAAATTATTTTTCTCCAATAAAATGAAAGTTCTTAGATCCTTAAGCTTTCTATGGATGGATCACCTCAGCCTTGATCACCTGGGATTGTTTTCATCTAGACCCTCAGTTGAGAAGGGATGAATGAGTCATAGGGTTGATCTTCTTTTCCACCACAAGAGATAAAATATATATAATTAGGCAGGTCTGTGGTGTCACCCCATTGGTATTTGTTAGTCAGAAATCACCTGCCTTTCTGCACTGATATTTTTTTTCCTTGGTACTGCTATTTTTTCAGCTTTTGAAACAGTTTCATAACTAAGAAAAGAAAGAACTGTTGGCTGTGGAAATGTTTTTGCCTCGGTTGACATTACCAACAGGAAAATAACTCAAGTTTTGTCCAGTAGGGAAAAGCAGATGCAGTACTGCTGAAATCAGTGAAGTTAAACTTGGGTGAGACCATGGTCAACCTTAATGTGTTAAAGTGAGCAAGGCTCCATGTACAGCATAGTTTAAACAACCATCAAGTTTAGCTCCAGGTAGAAATCCACCACTCTTGCAGCCCAGAGAGGTTATTCTGCTGTGCAGGGAATGCTTGTTAAGCCCTTTTAGACAAAAGAGATTTGTCAGGGAGTGTATAGATTGAAAGGGGCCAGGGCAGGAGGTGTAGAGGAAATTTTGTTTGCTGATCTACTATCCCCAGTGATTCACAAATCTTCTCTATGTAGGTCCTTCACCCAGAGAGAACAACCAAGGGTAAGATATATAATTCCATCACTGTGAGCTGCTGGGGCCCCATGGAAATTTCTAGAGACAAGCAAAGCTAAGAAGCCTTGTTCCTTGTTTTCCTCTTACCATCCCTTTTTCTGATCTTCGTTTCCAGTTGTCTCACTGTTTTGACCAGTGCTGATTTCAGAGTAGTGGTGGCATTGCTCAGCCTCCCAACACTTCTCAGGAAGGTGCTGTGGGTGTTTCACCAGGGACACAACTCCTGCCTTTATGAGGAGAGGCTGAGAGAGCTGGGACTCTTCAGATGGGAGAAGAGCAGACTGAGAGGGGATCTGATCAATGTCTATAAATATCTGAAATGTGGGAGCCAAACAGACGGGGCCGGGCTCTTTTTGGTGGTGGCCAGCAACAGGACAAGGGACAATGGGCACAAAATGGAACACCAGAAGTTCCACACAAACTTAAGGAAAAACTTCTTTACTATGAGGGTGCCAGAGCCCTGGGACAGGCTGCCCAGAGAGGGTGTGGAGTCTCCATCTCTGGAGATGTCCAAACCCACCTGGACACTTTCCTGTGCAACCTGGTGTAGGGAGCCTGCTTTGGCAGGGGGGCTGGACTGGATGATCTCCTGAGGTCCCTTCCAACCCCACCATTCTGGGATTCTGTGTGATTCTGTGACGTTCTATGGAAATAATTCTGGAGCCTTCATAAAATTCCAGAATTAGGACATTAGATTGCAATATTCTTCAAGCTGCTCCTTTGTGATGGGAAAGGTCAAGAGTGGGAGGCTTGGCTGATGTTGAGAGCAGGCAATGGGACCAAACATTATTGAAGTGGTGGGGTCATAGTGCTGCTGGTACTTTTGTCACAGGTGGAAGATGCAGCCAAATGACTTCAAAAGAAATTATTTGCCTGTACAATATCCAAACATGGTGTACCTGCTGTATGAAATCAGATGGAGCACAGGTACCATCTGGAGGAACTGGTGCTCAAATAATTCTACCCAACATGCTGAAGTCAACTTCTTGGAAAATCGTTTCAATTCCAGGCCATCAGTTTCTTGCTCCATCACCTGGGTCCTATCTACCACTCCCTGTGGGAAATGTTCCACAAAAATTCTGGAGTTCCTGAGGTTACATCCCAATGTCACCTTGAAAATATACGCAGCCAAGCTGTTCAAGCACCTGGATATCCGTAACCGGCAAGGTCTCAGGAACCTGGCAATGAATGGAGTCATTATACGTATTATGAATCTTGCAGGTAATCCAACTACTCTTTGGCTTTGCCTAGGTGTCAATTGAAAGTTCTGGGATGATGTGCACTCTCAGCAGTTGTGCTTTGTAATCGTGTTGGTGACTGGCATTGGGGAGGACTAGTGAGTGCAAAACTGCCACTTGTTTTTTTCCCCAATCCCATACAACCACAGGACCAGCATGGTCATTTCCTCTTGCCAAATCTGAACAAGGACAGTTATGTCTTTCTCTAGTCAACCATGCTTCCTTTATATACAATAGAAAATCCTGACAGTAAGATAGAACCTGTGTCTCCTAGCATATATATGCAGATCAGCTTGCCAGCTGCAGTAATTGGTTTCCCTTGATAGCTGGAGAAGAGAAGGAGACATATCTAAAGGAGACTTTCAGATGATGCATCACAGAGAACAACTGTATCTCGCATGTGTGTCTTTTTGTATGTATATCTTGCTTGCCTTTTGATGTTTGGCTGTAAAAATAATCCAGACAAGGAGCTCATAGAAAGGAATGTACATTTGAAGAGATGAATCTAGCATATGTGTCTGGTTACTTACTACTGGAATGTGCCACTACAAAACCCACCAGGTCAAATATAAACTTAAAGGACACTGTTTATCTTGGGGAACTTGCCTCTGAGATGATACCACCAGAGCACAGACAGAAGCTCCAGCCATCCTATCAACACTAAGATCAATATGCAACTGCTTATTCATTCCATGTTTTCCCTGATCATCAAGATAAGTCAGACAGATTCTGAAGCAACAAGTTGATTGTCTTACCCAAAGCTGCTGTGATCAAGCACAAGGCTACCAAAAAGTATGCCTGAGCAGCCCTGATTGCGAGTGCCATTTCCCTTTTCAGTCCTGCCCAAAGAAGCAGCCTGCCACTCACCAATTCCTTCTCCCTTGGACAGTGTGCTCTGGCTTCATGCCCTGACGTGCTGTCTGCGACAGGGGTTGCCCAAGCCACCACAGTGATCTCTCTCTCTCTGGCAATTCCCCTTTTTAGACATACTGCTATTAGTAGAGTTTTGGTTCCCCTTTCCACTAACTTATTTATGTAGTTGCAAGTCATTGTTGGTCTCTTGCATGAATACCCTCAGATAAATATCTTTCTCCTGCCCTTCACCATTGTCTTACTGAGAAAGAAGTGACTGACTGACATTCATGAAGAAAGAACTGGGCATGCCTTTCATCAAGAGTGATTGAATATCTCTCTTTTCAGATTACAGTTACTGCTGGAAAACATTTGTTGCATACCCACATGGAGAAGATGATTATTGGCCTTGGAACTTTGCTCCATACATCTTTGTGAATTGTAGAGAGCTCTGTCATATCCTTTTGGTTAGTAGGCACTTGAAGTGAGAGTGAAAAGTAATGCAAAATCCTAGGAAAAGGAGATTTGGAGGATCCTGGCAATGGTGTTAGGTAGTAGGAAAAATAAGCATGGGCTTGATGCTGCATGAACAGAGGACCAAGCAGGAAAGAGATTGCCAAGAACGGCGCTGCTACATTGTGCCTTTGTGGCCAGGAGTAGAGAAGAGATTTAGCAATACTCTCAGGTTTTTTACTAAGGAAAGGGTAAATTATTTCAACTCTTTACCCAGATCAGCGCCAAGTTCATTAGCTTGCAGCTTACTGGAGCTATTTGATCCTAAAACTTCATACAGCCGTGTAAACATTGTTCAAATACACTCTTTTTGCCTCTCAGGACAGGGTCACCGATTTTAGTTAAGCGCTAAGCTAGTTCAAAAGCCCAGATGGGATTCACTTTCAGGATCAGATCTGCATTCCCTAATTCTTGCAATCCATACAACTGCAGAATGTATTTTTATGATCTGATATCCTACTATAAAAGAAGGAGAAGGTGGTCTACTGAACAGGATTGAAAATCAGGACTGGAGTTAACTTCCTGACTCAGCCACCCTTTTGTGATGCAAGCCAGTTCTTGCTTGAACTGGTCCCTATATGTAGAATGGGGGCTAGCAGAATGGACAACAGGAGGTAGAGGAAGGGATGCACAGAACCACATAATACGGACAGGAACTTAAAGTCTAGAAGGAGAAGAACTAACCTGTTTGTAGGATGCTAGAAATGCCTTGTTTTATTTCTGACTGAGGAAAAGGTACTCATTAGATTTCACAGAATCACAGAATCAGAGAATGGTGGGGTTGGAAGGGACCTCAGGAGATCATCCAGTCCAACCCCCCTGCCAAAGCAGGCTCCCTACAGGAGGTTGCACAGGAAAAGTGTCCAGGTGGGTTTGAACATCTCCAGAGATGGAGACTCCACACCCTCTCTGGGCAGCCTGTCCCAGGGCTCCGGCACCCTCCAAGTAGAGACATTTTTCCTCATCTTCAGACGGAACTTCTGGTGTTCCAGTTTGCCCCTTGCCCTGTCACTGGGCACCACTGAGAAGAATCTGGCCCCATCCTCTTGACACCCACCCTTTAGATACTTATGGGCATTCACAAGATCCCCTCTCAGTCTGCTCTTCTCCAGGCTAAACAGACCCAGCTCCTTCAGCTTTTCCTCAGCAGAGAGATTCTCCAGTCCACTCTCCATCTTCCTAGCCCTCCACTGGACTCTCTCCAGTAGTTCCTGGTGTTTTTTGAACTGAGGAGCCCAAAACTGGACACAATACTCCAGATGTGGCCTCACTGGGGCAGAGTAGAAGGGGAGAACTTCCCTCAACCTGCTAGCCACACTCTTCTGAATGTACCCCAGGATGCCACTTGCCTTCTTGGCCATGATGGCCCATTGCTGGCTCATGGTTAACCTGTTGTCCACCAGCACTCCCAGGTCCTTCTCCACAGGGCTGATTTCTAGCAGGTCACCCTCAACCTGTCCTGGTGCCTGGGGTTATTCCTCCCCAGGTGCAGGACCCTACACTTGCCACTGTTGAACCAGCTCTCACTGAATGGCCCCACGGCCTTCTGGTGTATCAACCACTCCTCCCAGTTTAGTGTCATCAGCAAACTGGCTGAGGGTACACTCTGTCCCTTCATCCAGGTCACTGATGAAGATATGGAACAAGACCAGAAATGACCCCTGGGAACACCAGTAGCTACAGGCCTCCAACTAGACTCTGTGCCACTCATCACAATTCTCTGAGCTCTAACATTGAGCCAGTTCCCAATCCACCTCACTGCCCACTCACCTAACCCACACTTCCTGAGCTTCCTTATAAGGATGTTATGGGAGACAGTGTCAAAAGCCTTGCTGAAGTCCAGGTAGACAACATCCACTGCTCTCCCCTCGTCCACCCAACCAGTCATGTCATCACAGAATGCTATCAGATTGGTCAAACATGATTTCCCCTTGGTGAATAATCTTCTTTTCCTCCAGATGCTTAAAGATTATATCCAAAATGAGCTGTTCTACCACCTTTCCAGGGATGGAGGTGAAGCTGACTGGCCTGTAGTTTCCTGGGTCCTCGTTCCTGCCCTTTTTGAAGACTGGAGTGACATTGGCTTTTCACCCAGGTCATTCAGCAACAGGTCCACATTTGCTCTTGACAAGTTGCCACTTCATTTCAGTTCCATCCCCCCCAAACTTTACTTAAGTCTTTTTAATACCTCAGGACCTGACCTTTCTAATTCCATTTGCCTGAACAAGACATTCAGGTGACAGGGTACACAGCCAGTGGCATTCATTATTCATTCAGTCAGCTGATCTAACAAAGTAGTTGATGCACCGTAGCTGTTTAGAAGATATTTTTCCCTTGGCTTTCAGCCTTCCTGAGTCTCCTAATATCTGAAATGTTTAAATAATTTAGCAGCTTACGCACAAGCCAATGCATGGTGTGATGCTCACCAGGGAGATGAACTGAACTGTCTGCAAAATGCTTGTGAGTTGGACAAGCTCCAGCTGACTCAGCACAGTTCCCTGGGCAACAGTACAAGGTGAACATGCCCTTCAGGTCTTGGTTTTAAAGAGCCACCTAATAAATGACCTGTCCCTCCCTGTGACCCTGGCAACCTTGTTGATTACCCTTTGATTACTGGTGGTAGGAAGCTTGCACTGAGGCACTCATGCTGGAAGTTGAGCACTTGCTCAACTGCTTTGCAACAGGAAGATCTATGTGCTCAGCTCTTGTGAACACCCAGCCTCATTTTACTAATTACCCAGAGGTGTAATGACGAGAGTGAGTTCCAGGCACATGCTCCAGAAAAACACAGACTGTTGTGTCAAGTCCTGACCTCCCTGGTGTAAGAAAGACACTTAGGAACCAGAGAGGGTTTGGTGGAGTACTACTGCAATGGTCAGGGGGCTGGAGCACTTGTCCTACAAGGAGAGACTGAGGAAACTGGCTCTGTTAGACCTAAAGGAAAGAAGGCTGAGTGGGATGTAATGGCAGAAAAGACAGAGCCAGACTTTCCTCAAAGCTTTCACAGAGAGAAAATGAGGCAACAGGCACAAGCTGCAAAAAAGTCTCCCCTGACAGTGGTGCTGTACTTGAACATGCGCCCAGAGGGGCTGTCAGACCTTCATCCCTGGAGACACTGAGAATTTATCTCTGAGCTGCCCGACCTAGCTTTGGAGTTAGCCATGCCACAAACATGTTGGACTGGAGATCTCTAGCGGGCCTTTCTAACCCCAAAATTCTGCCTTTCCACAGGATCTAGCTCCATTTCTCTTGGCTTCAGCTATGCAATGTGTCACCTTTTAAATGCTTCTGTTCCTGAGTGGTCTGTCTTTCTAGGAGGGGTTTACATGGCACAGTAAATTCTGAGGTGTTACCATGGTGTCTGGAAAGCTGCATCCCAAGGGACATTATCTAACATGCTGAAGGTGGATCAGAGCAATCCCTTGAACTAGATGCTGTATTTTCAAACTCTGGATCATGTTGAAGAGACAACTTAAGTTTTTGGCATCTAATTTTTAATGTTCATGTTTCTTTCTTCCTTCTAGGGGCTTCCTCCATTGCCATCAAACTGAACCATGACAAGTGTCTGCAGCATGCTAACAAGCTCACTTTGTGCATCATAATATTATTAACAAGACAGGAAAAAGCAGTCCCTGGAAGTCTTTTCTACTACAGCCTTGAACCATGAGCTTCATACTGACACCAGAGAAAGCTCTTATCACTAGCTGGGCAGTGCTAAGTCTTGGACACAGCAGATGGAGCACATGAAAACCCATCAAGAAGTTCAGATGATGCAGCCAGTTGGCCAGGGCATAGTGATCTGGGTATTTACAAGGCTGTCTGAGAGGCCAGTGGGGATGGAGACCACGGCCCAGGATCAGGTCTTTCATGTCTGCTGATTCTGCTATCAGATTCTGTGAGTACCCTCTTGAGAGGCCAGTGAGGAACATATTTCCTCCTCTGTTCTGTTCCAAAGAAGTAATCAGAGCAGTGCATTCTGGTTCTGAGAATTTCTTATGCAGATAACTTTTATGGCTGTGTGTGTATATTTTAGAAAATACTCCATGCTATTAGTGTTTATGTGATATTATCATATTACTGCTTTTATTCCAAATAGTACAAATATATTACTAAGGAGTATATTGCTTCATTTTATTCTCCCTGTTTTTATGACTGCAGAAACAACATAGGGAAATATGAGCTTTGTGGAAACTTTGTTTTCCTTGTTCAGTTCCTATGCACACATCTGAGGTGGTTTCACCCTTTTGGCTGCAGCCCAAAGTGGTCTCACTCTCCCCCCAACCCCAGGGAGTAGGGGAGAGAATTGGAAGGAAAAGGGTGAGGAGATTCATGGGTTGAGATAAAAACTATTTACTAATTAAAATAAAATTATAATGATAATAACAGAATATGCAAATGACTGATGCCCAGTGCAGTTGCTCACCACCCATCCACCGATGCCCAGCCTGTCCCAACCAGTGATCCCAGAGCACGGACAGTCTCCAAACCCCAACCACAATCCTGGAAGAGCGAGAGCCCGAGTGATCCCTGAGAGAATCCCCCCAATTTCCAGTCAGCCCTGGTTAATGTACTGACATGATGGGATATGAGATGGAATATCTCATTGGCAGAGCCAAATGCCAATTTGGGGTTTTGCTAATTACTGCCCTTCCCCCCTCCCAGTCCTAACACAGCTGTGAACCAGCCAAACACAATGGCCTTGGGCTCCAGCAGCAACTAATGACATTGGTACCTGATCAACATTCTTCTCATAACAAACCCCACACTGAACCCAACACACAGCTGTTCTGGCTACTGAGAAGAATATTAACTCTGTCCTAGTGAAACCAGGACAACATCTTTCCCTTGTAATTCCACACCCTGGAGTCCCAGCTGTTCATTGCAAACTGGGGGAACACGGGAAAAAGTCTCTGCTCTGCTAGCTGGAAGAGTGGAATGGTGAGGCAGGAAATGCAATGAGAGGTAAGCTCTCAGCTATCTCTACAGGCAGAAACCAAAAAGAAGATACAGGTGTGCTGGGCATGGCAGCAGTTTTGAGTTTGCATTGCAAATAATGCAAAACATCAGAACGAATCATGTTGGGAGCCCTATGTTTCATGATTCCCAACCCCTCCAGGCAGGAGGTCTGTTGTCATATCCCTCTGGGGAATGTCCTGCTGCTGGGATCTGCAACATGCAGGCACAAATGATTATTTGAAGAATAAGGCAGGGGCTGGTGGGAATCATGCCTATCTCTTCTAGTTGATTAATGCTTATAGCATCCATTGGCCACGTCAAAGTCTCCAGATGTTTAGCAGACAATGAAGACAGCCAGAAAAGCTGCAGGCTGAGGAAACAGCTTCAGC